GAGCACGGCTATATGTGGACATGCAAGGGAGGAAGGTCTTTCTTGTGAGCTGATGAAACTGCCCTTTGAGGAAGTTTACTCATTTTATACATCCATCTTTGTGTTTATCAGATCCCTTTCTGTTCATGTTTCCCCCTGAAAACTAGATATGGTTGACTCCCACACTGCTTTCTGGTAGTGGTCCTCTTTTAGAGGAGTCACTCTTACCTTACTTACCTGGCCCAAGCCTAGCTAGTCATAATGAACTATAGTGCTTTGACCTCTCACATTCCCAAACTCAGCTATTAACTTCATTTGTATTGGTCACCGTGCTTTATAGATTGACACTTAAATTTCTTAAGTATGTCTTGACCCAAACTAGACCCAAGACAGTTACTGCCAACACCCTCTCCCATTTATATCCTTGGAGCTTGTAATTGGAGGAGCTGGGTCTATGGCTAGAAATGTAGAGCACAAGAGCTGGGCGCTGGTGGCTCACGCCTATAATCCTAGCTACTCAGGAGGCTGAGATCTGAGGATCGAGGTTCAAAGCCAGCCCGGGCAAGAAAGACCGTGAGACTCCTATCTCCAATAAACCACCAGAAAACCGGAAGTGGCGCTGTAGCTCAAGTGGTAGAGCGCTCGCCTTGAGCTGAAGAGCTGAGGGACAGCGCCCAGGCCCAGAGTTCAAGCCCCACGACCGACAAAAAAAAAAAAAAAAGAAATGTAGAGCACAGGAAATACTTATTTTCTAGGATTAATAAGTTTGACCTTTCTGTACCACCTAAACAGTAAAACATCTTTGTGAAGATGTGTTTGTCTTTTTTTTTTCTTTTTTTTTTTGCCGGTCCTAGGGTTGGAACTTGGGGCCTGAGCACTGACCCTGAGCTTTTGCTTAAGGTTAGCAGTCTACTGCTTGAACCACAGTGCCACTTCTGGCTTTTTTATGTGGTACTGATGAATCAAACCTAGGGCTTCATGCATGATAGGCAAACACTGTACCATTAAGCCACATTCCCAGCCCTGTGTATGTCTTAAGTTCAGGGTATCTAAGACCCTTTAACATATCTCAGATAATTGGAGTCCACCCCAATCTCCAGTGGTTTTGTTCCCAGTGTCTTGCGGTTTTTTGTGCTGGTACTGGGGCTTGAGCCCAGGGCTTAATAATACACTTGCTTGGCTTTCTTACTTACAGCTAATGCTTGAGCTACTTAATTTCAACTGTGTGTGTGTGTGTGTGCGCGCGCGCGCGCGCGCAAACCAATATAATACACTTGCTTAGCTTTCTCACAGCTAATGCTTGAGCTACTTAATTCCAAGTGTGTGTGTGTGTGTGTGTCGCGCAAACCAATTTTAAGGCTTGAACTATGGCCCTAGGTGCTTTCCCTGAGCTTTTGTGCACAAGGCTAACACTCCAGCTTTTTTTGGTTGAGAAGAGACCCAGCTTTTTTTGGTTGAGAAGAGACCCAGCTTTTTTTGGTTGAGAAGAGACCTATTTTTAACCTTTGATTGAGTGGGTGGTGCACACCTTTTACCCATTTGGAACTGAGTTGGGAGGATCCCAGTTTTAGACCAGCCTGGGTAGGAGAGTTAACTGGACTGTCTCCACAGAGGGAAAATGGATATAGTAGTTCATATCTGTGATCCCAGCAACAACAGGTAGCCTAAACTAAGCTCAGGCACATGAAAAGCAAGATCCTATCCACAAACAACCAGCAGTGGCTAGAGGTGTGTGGCTCATGTAGTAGAAGTCTTGCCTGGCAAGCACAAAGTCCCAGGTGCAAACCCTAGCACTATCCAAAAGATAAAATAACCAGCAGAGAAAAACAAAGCTGAAGACATGATTCAAGAAGCAATGCAGGGGGGGAGAGGCCTGGGAAGGGATGGGAAGGGGAAATAAAGGAGGTGGCAGCAACAATGCTTGATAAGAAATGTACTCATTATCTTGCTCATGTAATTGTAACCCCTCTGTACGGTATTTTCACAATAAAAAAAAAAGAAGCAGCAGCAGCAATAGGCCAAGCAAGGGCAAGGCCCTGATGAGTTCAAACCCCAGTACTTTAAGGGGGGGAAAAAAAAAAGAGCAGAGGGTGGGGTGAGGGGACGATCCTGAGAGAAAGCACACTGTTTTTAGTGCATCTTTTCCCCAGAACCAGGAAGGGTCAGGTTATTCAGGACAGTCAAGTCATCAGTCACTTCCCCTGCAGACTTGCTTGCAAAGGTGGGTGCCAGCAGAATCCTAGATCAGAAGGCCAACCCCAGCAAATTAATGGCCCTTTACTTTGCCTGCACTGTATAGCTATCTCAATAAATGGTAAATATGTAGCCAGGCCCTAGTGGCTCATGCCTGTAATACTAGCTACTCAGAAGGCTGAGATCTGAGAACTGTGGTTCAAAGCCAGCCCAGGCAGGAAGTCTGTGAGTCTCTTATCTCCAATTAACCACCAGAAAACCAGAAGTGGAGTTGTGGCTCAAAATGGAAGAGTGCTAGCCTTAAGCAAAAAGAGCTCAGAGACTGTGCCCAAGCCCCAAGTTTAAGCCCCACAACTGATTTTAAAAAAAGAAATAGTGTATACATTCTAGTTAGAAGATGAGATCTAGAACCAGCTAGCTTGGTTTGAACTCAATTTGACTTGCTTAGTGACTAGTGACTCTGGGCAAATTACCTTCTGTGCTTGCTTCTAATAGCGAAGGGGGACTTGTAATAGCAATTACTTCACAAGATTATTATGTAGGGCTGGGAAGGTGGCTCAGTGGTAGAGTACTTGCCTTGCATGCAGGAGGCTCTGGGTTCGATTCCTCAGCACCACATAAGCAGAAAAAGCCGGAAGCTGCGCTGTGGCTCAAGTAGTGGAGCGCTAGCCTTGAGCTGCAGAGCTGAGGGACAGCGCCCAGGCCCAGAATTCAGGCCCCACAACTAACCAAAATAAAAAATTATTGTGTACACTCAGTGACATATACAGACATAGAGCACTGTCCAGATAGAGCAAGTACTTCCTAAATACAGGCTATGGTTGTCTCTCCAGGTCTCGAAGTTTAATGAAGGAGGAAGACCCTGCTGTGCTTATCTCTGAGGTCCTGAGGAGGAAATTTGCTCTGAAAGAAGAAGATATCAGTAGAAAAGGAAACTGACAGTATCCTGCTCTGCAAAACTCAGTCTAATGCTCCTGGAATTCCTTCAATAGCTGCCTTCCTCATTGCAGAGGATTCTGCCTCTCAGAAATCTTCTGCAACAGTCTTGCTGACAAGCTAGAATTTGGACTGAAAGAGAAGAGTTGGATTATGTGTGTTTCATACTTCAACCTTAGCAGAGCTAGGTTTGAACTGAGACATTTTTCAGGTAATTGTGGAGGGTACAGTGTGTATGTTTAAGGGGCGAAGTCAAAGTTTCTTGCTTTTCCTTGCCCCTGTGTGAAAACAAGTCCTAAATGAATGACTTTACTTCACTGCATTAGATCCAATAAGTGTCTGGACAGACCCTTGCACAGCTGTCACTCACTCTCAGCCGCTTCTTTGCAGCAGAGTAGGGCTGAGGAGAAGGGGCTCTAAGTCTGTGTACATGTTCACAGGACAGGGATGACCTAATGCTGCTCCTTCATCAATTTACACCAATGCCCCAAAATTACCCTTTCCCTGTCTAGATGTAGAGGTCAGGCCATTGGACCAGCCAATAATTGGGCTACAGCTTGGAGGTCTGGAATATTTTTTTCTTAAACATATTTTATAATGCTATACAACCAAATCAACCCTCCAAGGCCCTGGGCCCTCATCACTTCTACTGATTGGAAACTTATTCCATGGACTTTAGCTTAAGTCTAGCAGGAAAAGGGAAATGGGGAAGGAACAAGCATTCCATCCCTCTTCAGGCCCTGGATTGACAGTTCCCTTGGGTTGGGCTAAGGTTTGGACCTACTGCATCATGCATGATTCAGTTGCCCTTGGGGCCCTTTCTCTATGGTATGTATACTATGTGTGCTTGGGTTGAAGCACAACCTGACATTAAATGAAGGATTTAGAGAAATAGTGCTTCCTTTTTTTTTGGTGGGGGAAAAAGGGAGGTCAGTCCTTGAGTTGTGAACACCCAGTATCCATTTAGGGGTGGGAGATTCCCATTGTTTGAAGATATATGAAACTCTTACACAGGACCTTATGCAGTCCTGCCCTGTCCTTTCCAAAAATGTTGTGTCCTGGCAGTTACATGTGATAACATGCAGGTTTGCCCTCTAGAAGTTGGTCAAGTGTAGGTACCACACCTGCAATCTGAGAAACTGTCACCTGGTGGGTGATCACAGGCTAATAAATTAGACTTCTCAATCAGATTGGATACAGAGCAATGGCAGAGCATATATTATTAAAAAGTTGCTTTTTGTATGATTTTTTTTTTTTGGCAGAACTGGGGTTTGCAAGGCAAGTGCTCTACCACTTGAGCCATGCCTCCACTCCAAAAGCTACCTTTTCAAAAATAAAATTGGTAATGTTTTAATTACCCCATAAGGCACTTTGCAGACATTAACTTGGATTCATAGATTTACAAAAGAGATCCCCTCCTACCTGTGGGGGAGGAATAATACAGTTATATCAAGATTGTTTTAAAGCTCAGGCTTTTTAGGGAGAGATATTTAAGTAAAGTACCTAACAGTGAAATGTACAGTTACCACATAAATAAAATAACAAAAGAATAAGACCATCACTATTCTCCCTCTCAATGTCCTCTTGACCCCTACTGAACATCTAGGTTGGAGATTTGCCTTCTCTTTCAAAATGGAATCAAAAATAATAATGTTCCAAGCTTGGGGTGAGTGAGCAAAATTAGCACCAGAGATGAAAAGAACCACACGTACGCAAAGCAAGGACCCCAGTGAGCATCTGAAAGGACAGAGGTAGCGCTGAGCAGACTGAACAGCAGGCTCTTGGGTAGAAAGATCTGTTCCCTACCCTCTCTCCTCAGTGCTCACAGCCTCATTTGGCAATCACCCGCCTTCTTCCTGACGGAGAAGCATGATGCCAACCACACTGTCTCAAACAGTGGCACTGACTGCCTGCTTTATTTACACAAAGTGCTCAATAATGACAACAGCTTCATCCCATAGCCACTTTCCTCCTAAACCCTCATCTGCCCCAACACCTCCACCTTACAAGATAACTTTCCTGCACCCTGCAATTTCAGGGCACCTTTAGGACCAAACCCCTTCATATAAGCATTTTAAACTGGTGCCTCATAACTTGGTTACCTTCAGAGTCCTGGGTAAAGAGCAAGCTGGGCTGCAGATGCAACTGAGTGGGCCCATCTTGGCACTGAGCTTTAGGGCTGTGAGGATGCTGCTCAGGACACTGCTCTAAACCCTGATTCCAGGCGTTGGTTACATCTTGAAAAGGAGCTCTGTTGTGGGCAATGACCCTCTGGCCTTGAGAGTCTTCAGTGAAAAGCTGACTCCAGGAGTCCTTGTCATGTTTTTCACTCTTCTGGGAAATTGCAGACAGAGAACAAGGACTTTGTTTCACTGATTCTGTATTTTCTTCTCCAATCAAGGATTCCCTGTAAGCTTGAGGGTTCTTACAGGCTTGCCTGTTTTCTTTAGCAGACAATTTCCTTTCTCGTTTTCCTTTGTCCAGAGGTTGATGACATTTCCCCCCGGGTGGGGTGGTATGTCCCTTAGTGCCCTGATAGTTGGTCTTAGATCCATGAAGCCTTTTCAGTTTGTGGGGAGAATCCCCCTTGCCCTCCTGTAGGTCTAGCAAACAAGAACTTTCCAAGTCCTGGGCAGAGGAAAAAGCCAATGACGCTTTACTCTCTCCAGCAGAGACAGGGGTTTCAGATTGGGGCAAAGACAGAACTGTCAAAAATGGAGTTCCCATACTGTTGGGGCCAGGAGTCTCAACCGACTGAGGAGAAAGTCCAGGTTCCTGGAGACCAGCAGGGGTTGAAGTGGCCAAAGGGAGTGCTACACAATCATCCTCTGAGCCCTGGATCAAATAGTCTAGATGGATTGTATCTTTCTTGGACTCTTCATTAATCTGACTTTTTATATGAGATGAAACACTTCTCCGGTTACTGCCACTTGTCATTCCTAATAAAACAGTAGTGGACAAATATTACACTGGAGAAAAATTGCCCTGAGCAGGATTTTAGTTGTCTCTGAAATCAATACCAGCTATTCTACCACCTTGTGCTTTTATGCTCTTGAAATAATTCTGTAGCTGATCTTGTTTTAAATCTACTAATGATCTTTAACAAAACAAAAACAAAAAAAAGCATATTTCTTGGCAGGGTATAGTGATTCAAGCCTGTTAATCCCAGCTACTCTGGATGCAGAGTTTAAGTCCAGCTAGGGTAAAAGTTACTGGGTGCCCCATCTCAACAAATATACCAGACCTGGATACCATAGGTAGACCATGGTCCAAGACCAGCCCCAGCCAAAACACACAAGACCCCATCAGAAAAATAACTAAAGCAAAATTGGGTTTAGAAGCATAACTTAAGTGATAGAGCCAAGTATGAGGCAGTACACCTGCTTAGCAAGCAGTCTAATATGGCATATGATCAGGCCACATCCTATTTTTCTAGCTGTTTTTATTTCCATGGTTAACAAGAGGGACAACAGTTTTGTTGTGTTTTTTGTTTGTTTTTGCTATGGCTTCTACTAGTGATCCAGACAAATATTCTTGAATATTATGCCCTTAAAGAAACATGCTCTGGATAGAGGTATAGCTCATGTAATAAAGTGTTTGCCCTAGCAAGCTCAAGGCCCTAAGTTCAAACCCCAGAAAACAAAACAAAAAAATACTCAGCACCACACTAGTTTTATAAAGTCGCAAGGATCACATTTAACCATCTAACTCTGAAACATTTTGGTAACAAGATGAAGAACATAGGTTTCCCAATGTTTATTTCATGGGAACAAAAGTGAAGACATTAGGATACTACGGTAACTAGTGGGAAGAAAATTTTAGTCAGAAAACAGCTGAGCATGGTGGCTCACACCTATAATCCTAGCTAGTCAGGAGGCTGAGATCTGAGGATCCTGGTTTGAAGCCAGCCAGGCAGGAAAAGTCCATGAGATTGTTATCTCCAATTAACCACCAAAAAGCTAGAAGTAGACCTTCCATTGCTCAAGTGATAGAGTGCCAACCTTGAGTGAAAAAGCTAAGGGACAGTACACAGGCAACAAGGTGAAGCCGGAAGAAAGGAAAAAAGGAAGGGAGGGAGGGAGAGAAGAAGGAACAACAAACCTCTAGCTTTCCCAGTAAATCAGATATGGAATGGACCCTGTTCTGTCTTGTTTTTTGGGTCCGGTCGTGGGGCCTGAACTCTGGGCCTGGGAACTGTCCCTCAGCTCTTCAGCTCAAGGCTAGCGCTCTACCACTTGAGCCACAGCGCCACTTCCGGCTTTTTTTCTTTTTGCTTATGTGGTGCTGAGGAATCAAACCCAGGGCCTCAGGCATGCAAGGCAAGCGCTCTACCACTGAGCCACCTTCCCAGCCCCCAGGAAAGTATATCTGCAAATAGGTGTTTATATTTTAACATATACCCTTTATTTTAAAATATTTCCTTTAAATACACAATATTTTACGTCCCTGTACCACCACTACCACCAAATAAAACAAAAAAGACATAATTTCCTTTGTTTCATAATATCACAGGTCAGCCAAGTTTAACATAGTATACTAGCTTCATTGCATCTCATACATGTTCCAGAACACATTCCTTTTGCTTCCTGGATAAGGAAGTATTCCCAAATGGATTACCATACCTTGCTGCAAGGTGATAAAAGAAGCAATGCTGGTCTGCCGAGTCCCTGCAGACATTCTCTGAGTAGGAGAAACATTAGGTTTTCTCTCTCTCGGAAAGAGTGTTAGTATTTTGTTGCCTGGTTTGATGAAATGTGTCTGAAAAGGGGGAGAAAAAAAAATAGAACCTATTACTATTAAAAGAGCTGCCAAAAGCCAGGTGCTGGTGGTTCAACACCTGTAATCCTAGCTACTCAGGTGGCTGAGATCTGAGGATTGTGGGAAGCCAGCCCAGGCAGAAAAGTCGCCATGAGACTCTTACCTCCAATTAACCACTCAAACACTGGAAGTGCAGCTGTGGCTCAAAGTGATAGAGTGCTAGCCTTGAGCAAAAGAGCTCAGGGACAGTGCCCAGGCTCTGAGTTCAAGCCCCATAACCACCACCAACAACAACAAAGCTGCCAAACAGGAGGAGTAAGCCAAACATCGGTGACTAGAACCACTTTAGACCTCTGGGCTCCCTGCTCTGTAAGTAGTCTGTACACCAAGACTCCACTCCCCTCTCCCCCTTCCTGCCATCCTGATATTTTTCTCAGGAATCAAAAAATTTCAACCATAGCTCAGTTTCCTGCTTTCCAAAAAAACTTAGTCAAGCTGACTAAAACATTATTTAAAAGGGGTCCAGAGATGATGCAATCTCCATTAGATTTAAGGCTCCTACATCAACAGGTGATACATTTTTAATGGTTATACTGTGGTTAAGAATGTGGCCTTAGCGGGGCACTGGTGGCTCACGCCTGTAATCCTAGCTACTCAGGAGGCTGAGATCTGAGGATCCCAGTTCAAAGCCAGTCCCGGCAGGAAAGTCTCTGAGACTCTTATCTCCAATAAACCACTCAAAAACACGAAGTGGTGCTGTGGCTCAAGCGGTAGATCGCTCACCTTGAGCTGAAGAGCGCAAGGACAGTGCCCAGGCCCAGAGTTCAAGCCTCACGGCCAACCAAAACAAAACAAAACAAACAAAACAAAAAAAAAAAAGGATTTGGCTTCAAGCTGGGCGCCGGTGGCTCACACCTGTAATCCTAGCTACTCAGGAGGCTGAGATCTGAGGATTGCGGTTCAAAGCCAGTCCGGGCAGGAAAGACTGTGAGACTCCTATCTCCAATAAACCACTAGAAAACCAGAAGTGGCGGTGCTGTAGCTCAAGCAGTAGACCACTCGCCTTGAGCTGAAGAGCTGAGGGACAGTGCCCAGGCCCAGAGTTCAAGCCCCACAACCGACCAAAAAAAAAGAATGTGGCCTCAGTGCCACCGACACAGCTTGTGTTCAACTTAATCACAATTCTTTCATTAGTTGTATGCAAGTTGCTTAATCGCTGTCTCATCCCAAATGTATTACCTCTCCTAGGGTAGAATAAAGTGCTAATAAAGATATTGATAAGCTAGGCACTGGTGGCTCATGCCTATAATCCTAGCTATAATCCTAGGTCTGAGATCTGAGGATTGTGGTTCAAAACTGGACCAGACAAGAAAGTCCATGAAACTTCTTTTGTTTGTTTTGTGCAGGTCCTAGGGCTTAAACCCAGGGCCCGAGCCCTGTCCCTAATTTTTTTCTCTCAGGATGAGCTCTCTACCACTTGAGCCACAACTCCACATCTGGAGTTTCATGGACTTCCTGGTCCCAGCTCTCTTTGAACCACATCCTCAGATCTTAGCTTCCTGAGTAGCTAGGATTATAGGTGTGAGCCCCCTGGTACCCAGTTTAGTGAGATTCTTTTCTCCAATTAGCTACCCAAAAGTGGAAACAGTTCAAGTGGTAGAACATCAGCCTTAAGCAAAAAGAGCTCAGGGACAGTGCCCAGGTCCTGAGTTCAAGCCTCAATGCTGACAAACATATACACACACTGCTGAGGGTTTTTTTGTGCTAAGATGAGCTGTTGCCAAATCCTAATAAACAGGGAGTTGATCTGCCAATCAGAGGCCCCTCTCCAGTACATGGGTGCAGAAGGCAGAAACAATGATCCTACAAGTGAACTTCTTGGGCCTTTGATGCCTGGGACCTCTGTTCCAAACTATTCAGGGTCCATGGGGAATCTGAAGCATGCACTGATGTACATTTGTTATATAAGCTACACTAGTCAGACAACCTATCCATCTAGACTTCCCATCAAAGGACTGTCCACACCTGACCTAGAACTGTTAGAAATCCCAGCTTAGCCAGGCACTAGGGGTTCGTGCCGGCTCTCCTGGCAACTAGGGAAAGGCTGAGATCTGAGAATTGTGGTTCAAAGCCAGCTTGGGCAGGAAAGTCTGTGAGACTCTTATCTCCAACTAACCACTAGAAAACTGGAAGTGGTGCTGTGACTCAAAGTGGTAGAACATTATCTTTGAGCAAAAAGAGCTCTGGGACAGTATCCAGGAAGGAGTTCAAGCCCTGCAGCCAACAAAACAAGAAAAATAAGCCCAAGGCTCTCTTATCATGTTCTCTTACTTTCATAAACTTATTTTCATTATGTCTTGCTTTAATATTCTTCTCTAGCAAGGCACAAGGATCAAAGTTAAGCTGCATAAATTTTAAGTAACTTGTTATTAGTAACATATTAGTTCTACGTCACAGGTGACTTTACTTCACTTTCATATTTGGAAATGAAATTGTACTTTAAACCCAGTGGCTTAAAGCAGTGGCTCATGCTTGTAATCCTAGTTACTCAGGAGGCTGAGGTCTGAGGATTAAGTTCGAAGCCAGTCCAAATTCAGCCAAGGCAGAGAAGTCCCATGACACTTTTTTTTTTTTGGTCAGTCTGGGCTTGGGAACTGTCCCTGAGCAATTTAGCTCAAAGGCAAGCACTCCACCACTTAAGCCACAGCGCCACTTCCGGTTTTCTGGAGATAAGAGTTTCACAGACTTTCCTGCCCAGGTTGGCTTTGAACTGCAATCCTCAGATCTCAGCCTCCTGAGTAGCTAGGATTACAGGTGTGAGCCATAGCACCTAGTTCCCATGACACTCTTAACTCCAATTAATCACCAGAAAAGCAGAAGTGGCACTGTAGCTCAAAAGTGGCAGAGCACTAGCCTTCAGCAAAAGAGCTCAGGGTCAATGCCTAGACCCTGAATTCAAGCCTCATGACAAAAAAAAAAAAAAAAGTACTTTAAATGGTTAACAAAAGGAAGGAAATCTCAGCTATAAAATTAATAAATCAACTAGTATGGAACTTTCCCTTATATCACATACAACTAGAAAACTGGATTAAAAATACATTGAAAATGAAGTCTCAAGCCAGGTGCCATAACACACACCTCGAATGCTAGCTACTAAGGAGGCTGAGATTTGAGGATTATGGTTCAAATACTGCCCAAAAAGGATAGTCTATGAGACTCTTATCTCCAAATAACAACCAAAAAGCCAGAAGTGGGGGATTGGCACAATTTTTTTTTTTTAAAGGTGGCACTGGTGGTTCATACCTATAATCCTAGCTACTTAGGAGGCGGAGATCTAAGGATCCTGTCCAGGCAGTAAAGTCCATACTCTTTTTTTTTTTTTGGTCAATCATTGGGCCTGAACTCTGGGCCTGAATGCTATCCCTCAGCTCTTCAGCTCAAGGCTAACACTTTACCACTTGAGCAACAGGGCCACTTCCAGCTTTTTTTTTCTGCTTGTGTGGTGCTAAAGAATCAAACACAGGGCCTCATGCATGCAAGGCAAGCACTCTAGCAGTGAGCCACCTCCCAGCCTGGAAAGTCCATACTCTGATCTCCAATAAACTACTAAGGTGGAAGTAGCAAGTAGCATTGTGGCTCAAGTGGTAGAGCTCTAGCCTTGAGCACAAAGAAGCTCAGGGACAATACCCAGGCCCTTGTTCAAGGCCCATGACTAGCAAAAACAAAACAAGTTTCTTTAGATAAGTAATAATAAAAAAGAAATCTCACTCTAGAGATGATCTGCTTATAGTCAATTCAAAGTGTCCTCTTTTCCTTACAACCTTTCCTATGACTTGCACCAAATAAATATTTTGAAACAGTGGGTAACAGACATTACAGACCTGTGAGCCCCAACAAGCAAGTAAACAAGATGAGCTGTGACATCCTAACTCTGCATCCAAGCACTTTCCAGATCATACTATACAACCAAGCAGAGCACTTCTTTAGGAACTGAGTAGACGGATATTGCATCTGGGGAAGCTGAGGTGGCTGGGACTTACAGCTCAGAGACCTCCAGAAATCTGCAGAGAGCCTTTCAGTCCATTGCTGAATACAGAGTTACATATGTGTTTCCCAGAATTCTACAGGCCAGGCAGAATAAATAAAAATTGCAAACTGAACAACTTCCAGAGCTTGTACAAAGCCAAGTTCCTGCTACCCGGAGTGGAGAAATGGTGAGCACCAGAAATGCTCAAAAGAAACATCCTTTAGTGACAGACCTAAACTAACTCTAGGGCAAAAACAAATTTCAAAGCTGCTTTAACAAAGCTTAAAAGCAATTTTGAAAATACCAAACTGAGTAGCACTTGCCAAAACAAACTTCATTACTAAAGGCAACAAACCCAAATATAGAAATGTAACATTCCTAGCATGTACCAAATTACTAGCTGTGAAGAAACAACTATAATTACAGCAGAAGGACCAGTTAATGGAAACAGAGATGTCAGAGGCAACAGAGTTGGCAGACAACTTTAACAGTTAACTTAAAATTTTGTCTATGCTTAAGAATTTAAAGAGAAATTAGTAAAATAAGGAAAATTTCTAAAGGGGGAATTTCACTAGTTAGGTTTATTGACAGTTTAGACACAGTAACAAACTATCCAAAATAAGAAAACCAAAAAAGATTAAAGTCTTAATCTGTGGGATATGAGGTATTCTTAATCATAGTCTCAAAAAAAGAAAGGAAAAGGCTGGAGGGGGACAATATATACTTAAGCTAATGGCCAAAAGTTTCCAAATTAGAAGTATAAGCAGTCATAACTACCTTCTTCAAAGGTAGATAATACAAGAACTTGCATTCCACATGTCCTCCTTGCAGTAGGACTTTTCCCATCAAGTAGAGAGGTCCAATTTCCTTTCCTTAAACTGGGAAGTACTCCTTGACTACCTTAACCAATAACACTTGCTAGAAGCAATCCATGACATCCAAAACTAGAATGCCACGCCCTTCTGTCTTGCTC